CTGTCTTTGTTTAGTTTTACTTTTTTTTCCAGATTACACAATGTGCAGTGTGTTAAACATCTGCTGACTCACTTTTTATCTGCATTCAAAGCTGTAATGGGAAAAACAGCTGTACTATCTCAGCAAGCAACTCTGTATTTGGAGATCCCTGTGTTGGCACCTACAAGTACCTGGAGGTGGCGTATACTTGTCAGTGTAAGTACCTCAAACAGTAATGCACATACAACTCCAAAAAAATGCTAGCAAACAATATATTCACAAGAACCATCCTCGTTAATTTCATCCAGTGGAGTCAAACCTCTGTACCTTAAACAGTAACGTACACATGCTAGCGACCAAAGGACCATTCTTTTTGATTTCACTTAGTGCATAAATACACATTTGGATTTCATTTTTGGATTTCAAGATTGTGCTCCAGAATCAAACTCAACTTTATTCCACTTTTAAAAGCTAAAAGGTGAACAATCAAAAATTTAAAAATGTGAGGTGGAAAACACAAAATCAAATCCAAACCAAGAAGGAAAACGTTGCAAAACTTACAAATTAAATCTGTGATCATGAAATAATATTTAGTGTGAGAATAAAGAAATTATTTTACTGCTACAATGTAGCCTTCATCATTAATATTGCATTAAAATGTTTATTAAAGCTACTGGCATCATATTAACCTTTTTATTACAGGTGCAGCTATAATCATTGTATACACACATTTTATGTTGCGCTCATTAAAAGAGTTGATGCTCGGTCTATTTAAGGTCTTAAGCTTCGGTGGGCGCGATGTCCCAGCCGATCTATTATGTAAGTGACTTGGACCAATGGAAGGTTAAAACAGCATTCACGCTTACAGACATATATGATTTAAACATAGGCCAGGCCGAAGGCCAGGAATTCATTTAGCTTCTGACTGCATTTGAGCTTGCCTAGTAACAAGTGACAGAAGAAGAGTCAAGAAAGTGTAAAGCCCCCAGGGACTATTCAGAGAATGAGTTTAATTACCATGTATGGAAGAATGATTAGAAAGAGAAACGTCTCTGTCTATTTTAGCTATTTTTCTCCACATTAATTTTTAAAGTTTGTGATTTAATGAATGTGATTTACGCTTTTCTCTCAGTCCAGACTGTAACATGTGAAGGATCTGAGGCAGAGCTTCAGTGTGGTGAGGTTTTCTTTTTTGCAACTTATTGAACTCATTTCATTGAAATGCAAACTTGTTTATAGTTTAACGCTGTGATCTCGTCCTCAGGGAAAGGGCAGATTTTAGTCATTCACAGAGCTGATTATGGACGCCATGACCAAACCACGTGCTCTGACTTACAACCTCGCTGTAGGCTCAGAAATGTCCTCTGCTCAAGTCCAGCGAGCAATGAAGTAGTAGCTGCAAGGTACAGATGGTTACTGTCTTTTTTCACCTTTTAATTTTCGACCAGATATGCAGTATGTTAAACATCTGCTGACTCACTTTTTATCTGCATTCAAAGCTGTAATGG